GGCCCCTTCTGCCCCTTGTTCCAGGGCCCAAACAATTGCCCGGGTCGGAACCACCGCCTTGCGCTGTGGCTTGACCTGGGTGTCCACCAGCGTCTCCTGGATGGCTTTCCGCTTCTCCAGGAGTTGTTTGTGTTCGTCAACGTTGAGCATGCCGAGTTTAATGGAGAGCCACTTTAAAGTGCCCCACCACTTCTGGAGCTTCGCCGGGGTGACCTCCAACGTGACCGCCTGGTTCATGAGGTGCCGGACGTCGCCGGCCGTCCAGGGGAGGTTCTGGAAGCCGATCTTGCGCATGCCCTCATAGGCCAAGCAGTGTGCCCGGATGGTACGGAACCGGGCATCACCAAAGAGGTGGCCAAACTCCTCCAGCTCCCTGGCCCCCATCACCTGGTGCATGTAGGGGATCTGGTGCCGGAAGGGGATGAAGTATCCCAGGAGGCGTTCCAACCACCTGGCCCTCAAGTGTTGTTCCAACGCTCTCTGAGATGTCGGCAATTGGGTCTTGATCTTCCCTGGTTTCCAATGCCGCCACTTGTTGGCCACTGCCAGGACATCCGGGGCCTCAATCGATCCGGAAAGGATCCACTCTTCGCGGTCCCGGATAGTGGAGAATAGGTGTGCGATTGCCTGGCGCCTGCCGCACGAAACAGAAGTTGTTGCAGGGTCTTAGTAGCGAGCTCCAAATCCGCCTCCTCCAGCGGTTGTGGTTGGGAGCCGAGTATCCTCGCGAGGATCAAGTGGTAGGTGTCCGAGGCCACCAGGACGTGGTTGCCGTCAGGTGCCAGCCCCACGATCCGTGTCCACGGCCGCGGGTCAAAGACCACCGCATCCGGGTTGGCGACCTTGTCCTTTTTGACCCATTCCAGGCAGCACGCCACGAGGATTTCCCCGTCCGACTGCACTGGTGCAAATCCAAGGTCATGCAAAATCAACTGGAGCGCGGTTGGCGCCCCTAGGAAGGTCGTCCCAAACGGGGAAGGGAGGCGGGGCCTCCACATCATCATGATCCACTCGAGCCGGGGGCCTAGTCCCTAGGTGCAAACCCCAACCAAACAACAGGGGGCCCCCCAAAACCCCGGAAAGTCAACCCCGAAACGGAGGAAACGGGGGAAAAAAAGGGGGACCCAGGGAGCCGCCCCGAAAAGGGAAAACCAAACAAGAGAGGGGAACCAAGGCGCACCCCGGATCAGCCCAAGCCGCGCCAATTTTCCTCGCCTGGTGCAAGTCTGGGCCTGCGCTGTTCCCTGGGGGGGGATATCAGCGCCTTCGGCAGCTGTCCCCCCCCCGGGGTGCGCTGCGCATCCGTTCCGGATGGCCGCGGTCCTGGATGGTGTGCCGGAAGATGGCGTTGTCCCGCATCATCACGCGGCCCCCTTCGCGATGTCATCGATGCGCTTGAGCGCAGCAGCCTCCGGATTCCGCAGAATCAGCTCCCAGATGGCATTGGAGACGTGGCCTGTCTGGGTGGTCTGGCTGAATCTGAACCTGGGCACCTTCTGGTCCACGATGGAGACGTCCCGCAACGGGGCCGAGGGCTCCACCCGGCGGTAGTACTCCAGCCGCTCCTTCCCCCACCCAGCGGTTGTAGAGGCCCTCCGGCGGCTCGTCCAACACCAGCTGCAAGATGGCCTTGCCGGCCCGGATCTGGAGGAGGCGGGTGCCCCCTCCCCGGCACGCCAGTACCCCTTACAATACTTGCACATGTAGCCCCCCCGGGTCTCCCCTTTTGTCTTCGGGATGAGTTCCCACGGGGTGACGGAGCTCAGGACCAGGCCACACTCCATGTGCGCCCAGAAGACATGCTTCATCTCCACCGGATAGCTCTTCTTCCGGTAGTCCTTACCCACCACGCCGTGGACGTTGTCCGCCGTGATGGGGGGGTAAACGATCCCCTCATCGCCCTCGCCTCCCCTGGGCGGATGTCAGGGCCATCGGCACCTGTCCGGCACCCAGGGGCGGAGGGGTCCAGGCCCATCAGCTTGATCATGTCGTTGGTGTAGCCGAGCTTGCGGTAGATGGAGGGGGCCACTGAGTCGGGGACTGCGCCGACCCACCACTGCTTCGTGTTGCAGCGCCAGTTGACCTTCACCTCCGCCAGGGCCCCCGGGCCTCCAATGCGGTCCATGAGGGCCTTGTACACCTCTGGGAACTGCTGGAACTCTCCACCGGGACCGAGATGCGCTCGTCGCATACCGCCCGCAGGATCATCTGCTCCTTGGAGTCCGCCACGTCCTGGACCGGGAGCTGCATCACCTCCGCCGGGGTGTCCGTGAGGAAGGCCCGGGCCGCGAGGACCTTGCCCATGGCCCGGTAGACCAATCGCCACTCCGGTCCTGTCTGCGGAAACGGAAGGCCCTCCTCCTTCAAGAAGCACCGCGCGTCCTCCTTCAGGGTCTCCCAGCCCTCCAGGCGGGTCTGATTCTGGGCCTTGTTTTTCGGGCCCCGCTGCCTAGGGCCCTGCAGCAGTGGCAGAGACTCCCAGACTCCCCAGAGCTGGCGCAGGGTGTAGCTGTGCCCGAATCAGACCCCCAGTAGGCCTGGGAGTGTCCAGGACGAGATCTGGCGCGTCCAGTGGAAGTCCTCATCCGGATCGTGGGGGGCAGCCCAAAAGATGGATCGCAGGTCCCCAGGGTAGGGTCGGTCCCCCGCCTTCGCCTGCTGGTGCAACGCAGCAACGGAGTACCTGGCCCAGGGGAGTCCACCCACCTGGTGGTTCCTGGGACGCGTACCCTTCTCCAACGCCTCCGGATTCACCTTGGTGAGGTTTTTCGCCCAATCCGGGACGTGTACCGGGCCCGGTCGTCGGACCCAGCGGCCCGCAAAGATACGGACCTCTCCGACCCGTTTGCTCATCATCCAGCGCAGGACCGAGAGCTGCACCTCCGGGCCCTTGGTGTCCAGGCCCAGGTGCCGAGGGCCCTGACAGGCCGCCCACCATCCCCCCAGCCTCGGGCTCTGGCGTGACGAGCTCAGGTGCCGAGGGCCCTGACAAGCCGTCGGAGGGCCGCCGGGAAGGGATTCCTACCCAGCGAGATGACCGCCTTGGCCTAGGTAGGAGTCCGTGAGGGATGTGAGGTCGTCCATACTGAAGTCCCTCCATGCCGTTGTCGGCTCGAAGACCCCAGTCTCAATGGCGACCCGGACCTCACTAGGCCACGCACTGAAGGGAGGCGCGATGGGCTCGAGCATTCTGGTTTCGAGGGAGCCCTTCGCCTGTCTGGCTTGGTGTTTCGCTTTCGCCTCCTCCGCAGTGGTCTGGGCCTGGAGGAGCTCCGGTGTGGGTCTCCCCCAGTCCGCACCCAGCTTGTCCAGCAGCTTCTCACGGAAGAGGTCCAAGTCCAGGTTCTTCAGGAGCAGGCCTCCATCACCTCCTCCGTCAATGGCCCCCCCTTGAAGTTCGTGGAGGACCGCCGCGGAGCGCTCCACCCGCCTTCTTGGCCTCCTCCTGGGCGATGGTGGTGGCGTTGAGCCGGGTCTGAATCTTGAAGGCCTTCACCGCAGACGGGTGGAAGGCTCTGCATGATCACCGCCCGGACCGAGGAGGGGACGAAGTCCGAGAAGCTGGCCTGGTCCGGGTTCTCGCAGGCCATCGGGTCGGTGGCCAGCTCGCTGACGTCCACCGAGGCACTGAGCTTGAGGTCGCGGGCCCGGTCCGTGTCAGGGCCTTCGGCACCCGCGGACCGGGCCGCCGTCCAGACCGCATTGCCCTGGTCATCCACCGTCAACTGCCAATGCGTGCCCGCCATCTCCAGGGTGGCCGAGTTGGTCGCCGTGTCAATGGGCTCCGTCTTCTTGCCGCACCCCATGCACTTCGTGGCGCCCTTCTTCACCCAGGGCATGGTGCAGCAGGGGCAGATCCAGGATGTGGGCACCTTGCCCAGGGGGCGGTTCTCCAGGCCCCCGTACCCCAAGCCAGCGCGCTTGCCAACCTGCTGTCCCGGGGTGCTGAGCCGGGCCTCATGCTCGTACTTCATCTTGGCGATGTAGAAGGCCTCCACAACGCGCTCCAGGCCCCCCCGCTTGAGTTGGGGGCCCTCAAAGCCTCGCAGGAGCCGCTGGACGTCCTTGGCCTGCAGTCTGCGGAGCCTAGTGGCCGTGGTCGCATCGAAGCAAGGGAAGTCGCCCGCCATCTGGTCGTCGCTGAACTGGTAGAGGCCCTCCGAGACCTTGAGGGCCTTGGTGAACACGCTCCCCCCCGGCGGGGGGGCTGCGGGGTTCTCATCCTCCTCCGAGGACGCCTGCTCCTTGACCTTCGCCATCAGCTCCCGGCGCCTCTGCCACTTGGCGTCTGCCCGGGCATCCAGGCGGGCCTTCTCCAAGCGGGCTGCAGCCGAGGGGGACCTGGGCATCGGCAGCTCCTTCTCGTCCTTCGCCAGGAGCTCCTCCATGGGCACGTCCTCCTCCGGCGGGTTCAGGAGCCTGGGGGGCGTGTCAGGGCCTTCGGCACCTGCGCCACCCCAGGGGCTGCATCTTCCATCGGCTCATCCTCTGCCTTGCGCTTGGCCGGGATAAGGGGGGCCTGCTCCAGCTCATCTGCGCTGGAGAAGAAACGCTCGTCAGGTGCCTGAGGGACCTCAGCAGCCAAAACGGTCCATCCTTCTTTCCCTCTTCACGAGGTCGCCAGGTACTTTGCCATGGAGGCCTTTGCCTTAGCCTTGGCCTCTGCTACCGCGGCACCAGCGTAGGCGGGGGCGTACATGGCTTTGAGAGTAGGGGAAAGAAAGATTTCAAATCACAAGACAAAAGATCAAAAGGTCCACTTGAGCCAAAATGGTGGCCCAAGTGGATACTTATTAAGAGTCAAGACAAGCGACCACCTACGGTTAACGCTTTAGCCCAATATTCTTAAGCAAATGGAAGGTCGTCCGAAGAGTCACAAAGGACCTTGAAAAAACCAAAGTTGCAGCCACAAATTATCTGCCCGCCTCGCAAGGCACAAAAAGAAAAAAACTACCAGCACGGGCCACCAATGAAGCCACCCCGCACTTCTGCAAAGCGACTCGTTGGGGAAGACGTAGAACTTCCGGGCATTGCGGGCGGATGCCATCTCCTGAACGACAACTTGAGAGGCGGTCTAAACACCCCTAAAGAGGTCTTCAAGTTTAGAGCATGGGACCTTTGGCGAAGGGGCGACTCTTGAAACCAAAAACCAGGGCCCCTGCTAAAAGCTCAACTTTTTGGCGGGGTAAATGGAAACTACCACTAAATCAACTAAAGAGCGAATTACTAAGGAACTGGATGGCTGGGAACCAACAAAAAAACTGGAGTTTGCATGAGAGACGTGTCTTAGATCGCACCTCTCGAGCTTCACCTCACTCTTGGAACCTCCATTGAAATGGGCCCCGCCAACTGAAACGGGCGTGATCAACAGAAAGCAAGGCAATTGGACTACCAGTGCCCGCATTGACATCCCGTGCCCCCTAACTGTCAAGTACTGTCCGAAAAGCAGTGGTTGCGGGTGCTGGATCTGGGCATGTCAGAATTAGCACAATGTCTGCCGCCGTGCTTGAGCGTGTTTGAAGCAGATTGTTTACACGACCTTGCTGAGGCAAAGGAAAAACGACCAGCTGGTGGATGAAACGCATGTTGCCCAACCCTGGACTCACAACATGCATGCTTCTGGCACCCTTTTGCAGGCGACCACGGCCTGGTTGTTAGAACAAATTCAACCAACAACTTTGGCCTTGTGCGCGGAGATCACAAGCGTCCTTTTGTACAAAAAAGGCTGGCGCCTGGTTGCCAAACTGAAACCCCCGCTCCGCCAATCGATTTTCAATTAACTGGAAGCCCACTAAAGCGGACGCACCCTATTTAATCAACCAGGGATCTGTCCATCCGTGGTGTCTTTTTAAAGGGACATTCCCAAAATGGTGGGTTGTCATTTTGGTTTTCCTTCAAAGCCCTTTGCCAAGACAGGGTACCTGGACCCTCACAACTCCCTTTAAGATAGGTAAGTGTCCCAAATTTATGGGTGATGTCCTTCTCTTTCGTGTAGTGTGAGGGTCCAAGTACCCCCAACAAAAGACAATGGCGGGTTTTCCTTGTGGTTTTTCCTTCACAACCCTTGGCAAAAACGGGGTACCTCTCAAAAACCCAGAACAGGTCACCCTGAGTGTGCGGATGTTTGTGGTTGAAACCGAAAAACAACAAGTTTCACACACTCTTCTCAACAAAAACGCACGAAGCCTCCAGAAACCCTAGGCTTCAGCTTCCGTAAAAAAAAAGAAGAGGTTGACCCAATTTCGATGATGACAATCCTTGGGTTTCTCAGAGGCGGTTCTATGACTCCCATGGTTCTAATGGTGGTTTGAACCCGGCGATCCATCGATCGATCCAGTCCTTGGCCTTCTCCCGGTCACCCACCCCGCGCTTGGCGTTCGTCTTGGGCGCCGGCTCCTCGTTCAGCTCCGCCTCTGCCCGGACGTCCTAACGGTCCCGACGTGAGCGCAGGGCCGGTTGCGAACCGAACGCGGCGAGTCTCTGAATGAAACCGCCCCTCCTTCGGCGGTCCTTCGCTCGAACTGGGCATGTGGGGAAAATGGGGGGGAGGAGGGAAATGGTGGGTGTTCCTTTTGGTTTCAAGCACCCAAACAGGTACCCATCTGGCCCGGCAAAGTCCTGTTGGTTTCCTAAAACCGTGCCAAAAACAAATGTACCCTCAAAAGAGAGAGAGAGAGAGAGAGAGAGAGAGAGAGAGAGAGAGAGAGACAGAGAGCGAGCAGAGTACAAGCCCAACGCTCGTTCTCCGAACCCGATCCTCCTTGAGGTCCCCCGTCTCCACACGGCACAGCGCCCGCAGCCGGGAGTAGATCCCCATGTTCCGGTGCCTTACCTCTTGCAGCACCGTGTAGGGCACCACCACCTCACGAGAACGGGTGGCGAATCAACGGGCGTTTGCTCCCCTACACTTTAACATGGAGCCCGAAAAACCACCATCCTGGCCTCATCCTTCTACCATGATATAACCGCCCTAAGTGATGGATTAAACGGTTAACCATTGTCAGAGGAATCTGATTTTGGGAGAGGGACCACCCTTGTTGGGTTCAAGTGAATCTGCCAGGGAGCAATACCACCATCCTGGCCTCATTCTTTTACCATGATCAAAATCACCCCCTAAGTAATGAATGGGTGAAAGGGAAACAACCGATTCCATTTTCTGACTTTGAGAACTCCCAGAAACCATCAAAACAATGAATGACCCCAGCCATTGTCAGAGGAATCTGAGTTGGGGGGGACCCCCCTTTTTGGCTCTCTCTCTTTCTCTTCTCCCGTGGATTTTGTAGGTTTAATGGCAAAACCATTTATTTCCGAAAGATCTCAGTCAGGGCTGCACAAGAACGCCACTTTCTGGAACCTGGTGACATTTGCTTGCGACGCTTACGCAAAGCGGGCGAGACAAACTTCGCAACCACCCGGAACTCAGCCACGCTCAGGTTGCCTGTTGTATCCTCTACTCGGCACGAACACTATGAGGCACACCAGCCATCCCACGTAACCAAGTCCATTGGCACGAGAGCAGCTGTCGCAACCTCCGAAGCCCCTCGTCGACAAACCAACCGCTTTTAAGTTCCGTGGCTTATGCACACAGACAGAGACAGCAACAGTTCAACCCACACAAGAGAGGAATCTGCAGGTTTTGACCAGAGAGCAAACGCGGGAATCGAAGCGCCCCGTTCCCCTTGGCTTCTCTCCATTTGGCCACGGGTCAAAACCCAAATCGTACCCCCAGTGAACATCCCAATCCCCACTAAAATAGACTAAAAAGGGTGGTGCACCGAAAACCAACCAAAATGGGATCCCAAAACGGTTTTGACCACCACAGCCATTTGCATCTGCGGCACATGGTTAATGCACTCGTCTTCCGCGATCAGGTCGATCTGATGGAGGACGATGTTGGTATCCAGGACTAGCACCTGGAGTTGAGTTTTCTCACCGCAGATCTCGCAGGGAGCCATGCGAGCCCGATCAGCCTTCATCCGGGTGCAGCTCAAAACGGGGAGCCCCACAATGGACGGTGTCCGCCTGGTTTCCGCTACCCAGTTCAACAACCCACGAAGGCTTTCTGGGCATCCCAAGTCAACAAGTTAGGAACTCTTTGCAGCCTCCATATTAGGCTGGAATTAGAACCCGGCAAACAAAAATCTGTTTTGCCTGGGTAGTGGAAAACAAAGGGAGCCCCAAAAAAGCAAAAAGGGGAGCGAATTCTGGGGAAGCATAAAGAATCAAAAGCTTGACGCCGAAACAACAAACCTTGACAGGGCCTTGTTTCAACTGCCGGACGTATTTGACGTACCTTTCGCCCTTCCTTAAACCAGCACCATGGTCCAAACAAGCTCGGACTGGTTTTGTGTCCAAATTAGTTGGACCAGAGCCGGTTCGAAGGAACAGGGCGCCTGATCCGCGCCCTCAAAAGGCTCCGGCACAATGTCGTCCCGCAAGTAGACCTCCCGCAGCACCTGCCGGTGCTAATCGGCGTGAGCTGCCGCAATGTGAGTTGGTGGGAGGGTCAAAAATGGCGAACCCAGAACCAGGTAAAGAAATAGAAAGGCGGATCTCCGCAGCGATTTATGCCTGGGATCGTCCTTCACCTTCATCTACCCGAATCGGTTTTGATTGTGGCTCACATGGCTTCGAAGTTACAGTAGAGAACCCTTGGAAAGCCTGAAGCATATGATATCCCATGCTGCCCATCACAGGGCACCCAGCTGGAACTCAGCCCCATATGTTGTTGATTTGTTTTTCATGGATCATGACTTAATTTGGTTTTGCAGTAGCCCACAGGCTCATTGTAATTGTTTGGGACCTTACAACAGGATGGATTTGCGGCGAAATATTCTAATCGCCTTTGTAATAGCAAACCGTTACCAGCCGTTTGAGAATACGGGAATGAGGTCACGTGGGTTTTCAAGACGAAGTCCCCAAGAAAAATCAGGAAACTCCAGCGTTGATGCCAGTGAGCGAGCTAATCACAGGCACAAAGACATGGCCCGATTTTTGTTTGCACGCGGGCTTCCCAGCAAAACGACCCCGGCACTTTTTGGGGAAAATGCTCTTTGGGGGACTCTTGAAGCGGGAATTCTGGTTCTGCTAACGCCAAAGGCCAACTATTTCAGCAAAAAAGGGAGTTCATGGTTGTTTTTGTGAAACATGTTACATTTTGCTTGTTGTGGTTTAGGGGGAAATCCAACCACTTAACTGCTAAAAATTTACATTGTTGCTCCCCTTCCAACGTCAACCAAGATTTAGACAGCTCAAGAAGGAACCTGATGAAAGACCATCTTGACCCCTGTCAGGTTCCATGTTGATTGATGGGAGGGTAGTAGTGTTGACCCAGGATGAATAAACCCGTCCCACTATTAGGGGGTGTTCCCTCCAAAAGTGATGAATCCCCACTCAAAGCAGACACCCCCCTATTAATCAGCCAGGGGTTTACTAATCCGAGGTTAACATTAACTGTCTAGACGCCATGGCACCTTGCGGATCTTGTTCTGCCGCGTCCGCCGCAGCCAGCTGCTGAGCTGGCGGCTACTGCTGGGCACGTCCTCTGCGATGTCCGCCTCCGTGTCCATCGCGGAGGCTAAGCCGCCGCTGCAAGCGGGGCAAAGGCAGGCCTAGGCCCTGCTGATTCTGGGCTGCCCTCAGATCCCCCGCTAAAAGTTCAACTTTTAGTGGGTTATATGGAAACTGCGACTGAACACTAAAAAGCTAAAAGGCTAAGGAACCGGATGGCTGGGAGCCACAAAGGATTTGATGGGTAGAGGGTGCTTTTGCTGGACTTGGCGCGGCACAAGGGCAAATGGGTACAAAACAAGCCACGCAGTTTTCGGCGGATTCATCTGGAAGGCAGCGATTGTTTCAGGAGATGACGATATGGGCGTAATGTAAGGCGCCTTGTTGTTCAAACAACTGGCTTAGACATGAATGATGTGGAAGCTAATCATCTCAGCATGGAGGCTTGATTGGTACATGATTGCCAACTGCAAATGAAATGCTCCAAGTGCGGTGCGTGTTGTGACACAGCTTGGCACTCCGGTTGTGGGGGGTGGCTTCTTGCTACTCCGAGGATCCATATCCCATGAAAGCCGGGACTCCGCAGCTAGAGCTTCGCGTGAAAGAATCCAGCGGCATCCGATGTGAGCAAATGGACCAAATCAATTAGTCAGGGTTCTCTGGCTAGGTCCTCCAGAGTAGAGAGGTTAGAATAAGGGTACCCTTTTTTCTGTGGTCTATTTTAGTAGGGGAACCCTCCCCCCAAACAAGGGTAAAAGGGCACCACTGGGGGACCTAGCTGGATCTCCCCTCAGGCTGCAACTCACGGGTGCTTTCCCTTGAAACTGCCACTTTTCGGTTCCAAACGAGGGAGAATTGGCTCGGAAGCAACTTCCAAGTAGCGTCCCAATCAACAAGTCGCCCCAAGAAACGCGGCACAGCCCAGGTCTTACAGTCCTCTCACCCCGTCACAACTCCTCCGAGCGCAAGGAGTCTCGGACCAACTCCCCCACAGCGGCGGCGATCTCCTGGGGCTGTGCAGTCGATACTTCTGAACATACCCCACCTCCCAGCCTCGGGTGTGAATTTTTCAGGGGACCCTTTGGTGGACATCATTTAGGTGTTGAAACTCATGTCTACCAGAGACTGGTGAGGTGGTCCCCTGACATAAAATTCACTGCCATAAGCCATATATGTAAGGATAAATCATGGGCCATGGGGTACCCTGGATGGGCCCTGTAGCCCAATCCACTTATCACCGATGGGCTGTGGTCTGTAGATGGGATGTCTTCAGCCTTTGTCCATAGCTTTGTTTGGTTGCCCTTCACAAATCAGGCGTTGAAGGCTCAGGCCAAAGAAAGACAAACTGGGCACGAGTGACATTGCACAAAGCAAGATCCTTCATTAACCAAAGTTTTCAGCAGTGCAGTCGTCAAAACCCCGACCATGCCTTGCACTCACGTACTAACTGTTGAATGTTGTTTTTCAGTGAGACTTCGCGAATCAATATCAATGATGTGCTGTGCATGCTCACATGCACAACCCAACCGGAGCCAGCCGAGCCGAAACTTGCACCGCAACCCACAAGAAGCACGCACACACACACACACACCCACATACACCCACATACACCCACCCACCCACCCACCCACCCACCCACCCACCCACACGCACGCACCGCACGCACGCACGCGCGCGCGCGCGCGCACCGCGCACGGGCACGCCACCGCACTCGCACCGCACGCGCACGAACGCGACGCGCACACGTCGCGCGCCCGCGCGCCCGCACCGCACGCCGCACGCCCGCACGCCCGCACGCCCGCACGCCCGCACGCCCGCACGCACGCACGCACGCACGCACGCACGCACGCACACACACACACACACACACACACACACACACACACACACACACACACACACACGCATAGGTGTCCTTTTGGACACATAGACGGCCCTGGTAAATGGAATACAACCCATCTAAACCAGTGGAACCCTTCTATGTTTGACCACACTACCCTAAAAAGGACACCTATGCACACACGTGGCAGCGTGTCGTTCTTCCGTGCGTGAAATGGGCTTGCGCTCCTCGAAGTCATCTTGCACCAAGCGCTCGGCGGGGCTGGTTGCCTAAGAACTCCCAAATGGCAGTGACGTCACAGTCAAATGGCAGAATTATGCAACGCATAGGTACATAAATTGCACACATGGATATTATTTGATTTTAAACATAATACACTTGTATCTATTTGAATATATATATATATTATACCTATATATTGTATAAGAATAACAATCAAGTAAAAGATAAAATAACAAATACAGCATGTCGGCCGTGGTCGGGGCGAGCCATGTGCCAACAGATTGTCACTCGACACGTGAAGGGGCACACAATTCAGCACATTTCAGCATGTGTTGCTAGCCGATGCATGTGCAATAAGGCGAAAGGAACTTGGGCGCGCAACCCACATCAGTAGGGAAGATCCCACGCGTATAAATGAAAAGCAGTTTTTTTTCTCCGGAACTACACACATTAATTTCAGTGTGTGCTATGAGGCGCCCGAGGCATCATCTTCCCTCGGTTGCTTTCTGCTCCCCTGCTAAAAGTTTAACTTGCGGTTTAATGAAAAACCCATTTATTGGCAAAAGGTTAAAGTCC